AGCCAATAACAATAATAGTAAAAATATATATATATATGAATACTGTGAAGTGTATGAAAAATGCGGGGAAATATACAGTTGATGAAAGTAAATTATATATCACAACAGTAAAAGAAAGCAAGGGAGGCAAAGCATATGGTAAGTAAACATTAAAGGACCAGATGTGACTTAATAATATAATACGCTGGCAATCGAATCTATAAACAAATTTATGTAAATATGATCTATTCATTGCCTTGGCAGGAAGAAAAGAACAAAATGTGAACTATTAGTTTTCATCTGACAGGTCACAAATACAAAATGACAAGTGTAGGCCTGCCTTCCTTCGCCAATGATCGTCTTGATGAATTCATTCAAAAAGCCAAAGATTTTGCGTTTACTCACGGTCTCGTTAGGCCAATCAAAGACGATGTTATCAACAAAAGTGTTGTCACTCATAACTCATTTATGCTTGCGCCGTCTCCTATACCTCGGCACCTTTTTGAGAAATTGAAAGAAGCTCAACTTGATTTCAACAAACTGATGTACCTTGTTAGCCAAGATTATGATTTCATATGTAACGTGTTAAAAAGGTGAGAATTGATTCTCTTATTTTATTTTCACTCGCACTCCGTTTTCACACAGACGGAGTGGAGAGACCTCAAGAAGTTTACCCTTGATGCAAATGCATGGGCGCAGATCATGGGGGAGACTGAGGACAGTCCCCCTCCCCCACATATTTTTAAGGGGGTGTTGGTTCTCCAATGTTTCGATCGCGATGTAATTTCATAAGTAAACATGATGCCTGAAATTAGTTGTAATGAACTGCATAAATGACCCAGGTTTTACGAAAAAGAGCTGTACAGGCCAGAGTACAGTTACTGTACATCTTATATTATAGCATGGAGGTATAAAATATTTTTATACCTCCATGATTATAGTAAGATACCTGTATCACAAACGTGTGAATTACCTATAATACTCGAGTGCACGTGCTTTTGTTATAATTAGAGAAAGTATAATATTTTCGGCACACAAGTAGGTAAACTGAAGTAAATACATCATTGTTCTATGGTACAAAACAGATTAATTATATATCCGGATATTGCTGATAAAAGATGATGGTGACGTTATAATAATGACTTTTACTATATAAGAGTTTCATTCCAGCACTATTTCCTCAAAATTTTGCACCTCAGTCCAACCAAACGTGGGGTTGAGGTGCCCCTCCCCCCCCCACACCTCTCAAAACACACTTCGCCCTCTTTTGGCAAATGAGGCCTAAAAAGAACCTTAGCTAAAAACGTTTAAAAAGTACAAAATTAGATATAGAATTACATAAATCTGATCGAGTAATTAATTTTTATTACGGTACAATTTTTATTATTATTATTATAACCAATTATTATTTAAAAACTTCAGTAATTTCGTTAGAAATTGATTGAGATGAAGATGATGAGTTTCATGATGATGATGATAATGCTGATGGCGGTTGTGATGATGACGGTGATGATGATTATGATATAAATGATGATGTTGACGATAATAAGTTTAGGCCTATATAGCACATAATACATAAGCAGCCTAGGCGTGTCATATCGAAAAACAAATACCATGTAGTACCGTAGCACTACGTTGTATAATAAACGGATATAAATACATTATACATTTTGCTTTTTTTCATCAGTGTGGTTAAGTACGATGAGTTTACAAGAAATTTGCTTAAGATTTACCATAAGGTTCATCAAAAAGAAACTAAGGACGTGAGTGATTTTAATGACTTTCAGTAAAAATTCTTAACAACAGAATGTATGTAAAAAATAGTTAAGTCAACGATATTCGAATCTTGTTTACTTGCATAATATAACAAAATAACATAATAATCAAAGTGAATTAAATGCGATAAAATGAATATACAGCAAACATTGTTATATTTCGTCATACCTCTTTTAAATATCTTTTGATTTGTAAATTTTCTGATTGAAATCATAATTTGATAATTGATTGATTAATTACCGTACATACATTTACATATTGAAAACCTGGAATTTCAGAGAGGAACACTTGACATAATCAGATGCGATTACATGTTGGATAGTAATGAGCAGAAATTTAAGCAGATTGAAATTAATACGATTGCTGTTGGAATGGCTGCAGGAGCAGCACGTATGCCACTTCTTCATAGGTTAGCTATTTCTTTAATGAAATTAGTTATATTTTATATATGTATAGTACATAGAACAATCAGAGATACCGTTCTTGGGATGTTTTTTCATACAAAACTTTTCAATTTACATGATAGCGATCGTTTGGTTTTCACCCAAATTATTTCATGCAGATACACCCTAAGGTTAGCAGGGATGTACAAAGAAGCGAACCAAGTTCCAGACAACCCGAGTCTTGAAGGAATAGCCACTTCTCTTGTCCGGGCATGGGAGGTGTACGGCCAGCCAAAGTAAGTATTTCATAGAACTTAGTTGTAATGCAATATGGTGAAGTAGGGGTAGTTCTTAAATCGCTTTGAAGAAAAAGAAAAAGAAATATGCATACAAACAAATTTATATAGTTCGGGTTCACTTGACCTAGGTATTCTACATTCTTTTAAATATACCTACATTTTTTTTAAATAAATAACTAAATAAATAATTGAATAAAATGGCATGTTTTCATGCTTTCGACATTGTACGAAAGGCTAAAATATTGGTGACATCACCAATAATTATGGATAACCACCAAACCAGTTTATTACTTTCATATCACTTTTGTTCACTAATAATGAAACTCTACTGGTTTTATTTTTAGCAAAATAAGACCCATTTATTTAACCCAATTTCAATATGTAAAGTTTTAATTAATAATTAATTAATAAACTACTATCATATTATTCTCAGTGCGTCAGTCTTGCTAGTCACCGAGCCGGCAGACCTGGCCCGCATCAATCATCGTCATATTGAGTTCAGCATTCATGAAATTAATCCTCGAATACCCTTCATGAAGATGAGCCTTGGAGATATTGGAATGCGCGCCGATCTGACAGACGATCAGCAACTAAGAATGTAAATATGCTATCAATATTATATAAATTGTTCGATGTTTATTTACTGCATTTAAGTGATCATCATATTACTTATCCGTATTGGGTGTTATCCTGTTTTTAATTTGCTTAGCCCATGCACTTTTCTTCCTAGCATTTTCAAAGAGGTAATGCATTTTAGTCTTGAACAACAGCTATAAAAACAACTAACCTACATGTTACAGGCATAATGTAGGCCTTATATGATTTATAAGGTATAAGGCGCTCTACCCATAAAACAGCATACAATTAATTATAATTAATAATATTAAATTTACAATTCACATCTTTAGATTAAAAAAGAGGATGAATAAAAAAACATTTACTGTACGTGATTTAGAATAATGCATAGTTTTGAAGACCATCGTAAACTATAGCTTATTCTACCACCTAGAGGGTTTTTTTTTATTTATTTTTTTTTTCTGGCAAAAGATTAAATCAAACAATTATTGCAAACACCTTCACCATCATCGTAAAATTTGTCATCATTTACGTCTCTGTGAATTATCGTAAATATAATGGTGATTTTTGTTCCAGCGATGGATGTGAAATAGCCGTTGTATATTACCGTACGGGATATAAACCAGAGTTTTACAAGACCAAGGTGGTAGGTATTTTAAGGATTATTGCTCAAACAATTTCTTCTATATACCTTTTCATATAGGCTTAAATAAATGTTTCTTTATATATTGATGAACAGTTATGCAATATGCTAACAGAATGCATGGGTGTATGCAAAAAAGTGGAGGGGGTCGGGAAGGTCGCACGACACACCCCCTCCCCCATTTTTTTCTAGGGCCTTTCACAATGACAATGAATAAGCATTGATGCGGTACCAGCAACGAGTCCAAAGACCTTGCCAATTGCGTGACGCTAACCATCTCAATTTCAGCAATTCTGAAAATGAGTCTGCCATCCGCATTCAAGCAAATTGTATTGACATTTTAATCACATCTTGCTGTTATTCATTGTGAAAAGGTCAAAAAAATTATGATCACGACCCATCCAGAAAAAATCCTGGATACACCTCTGGAATGTATACTTTCTAATACTCTGTTTTCATATATGTAAAATTGTTAGAAAGAAATATTTATTGATAAAAAATAAATTTAACGATTAAATAAAAATCAATTTTAAAAATAATTCAATCAACGTTGCAGCAGTTTAACATGTTGTGTGTTTATTATTTTTGTATATGATAAATAGTACAGTATACGACACATTATAATTCTGAATGATAGGAATGGAAAGGGAGACTTTTAGCTGAGCAGTCATGCGCCATAAAATGTCCATCAATAGGTGGTCATTTGGCGGGAACGAAAACTGTTCAGCAAGCAATTTCTGAACCAGGTGTTATTGAAAAGTACATTGATGACCCGGAAGCAGTTGTTCGGATTCGCAATACATTCTGCAGATTATATTCACTTAATCCAGTGAGTTAGCAATGGAGTTCAACATGTTCTACACTCTTTCTATTTTATATTAATAATAACAACTTTAAAAAAAACCTATATAAAATTTTAATGTTTTGCAACTTGGACTAATTTTTGTAATCTTCCTAATGTAAGTTGGCAGAACCACACCGTTAAGGATATATTCCATAATGTGTTACATAATGCTTTATATATGTATATGTACAATAGGGGCCGAAAGGAGACCATGCTGCGGATCTCGGTATTGAAAATCCGGAAATGTTTGTCCTGAAGCCAAACCGGGAAGGTGGAGGTAAAAACTACCGTGTGTGTTTAAATTAATAAAATATAGCGTAAATAAGATGAATAGTTAACTCAGGAAACATCAATTGAAGCTGTCTTGGCAAGACAGTTTGTACCATATTGAAGTCAGCCTATGAACCATTATTATCAGACTTGTTCTTTAAAAAATAAGCTATTTATTTACTATCTTCTAAGGTAACAACCTGTTTGGGAAAGATATTAAAGAAAAGCTCATCGAATTGAAGGGCTCGCCAGAACGTGCAACATTCATTTTGATGGAAAGGGTAGAACCAGTAAAGATCAACGGATATTCAGTAAAACCTTTGGAACCCGTAACTTTACGTGAGATGACCTATGAACTCGGTATTTATGGAGCAACAATATGGTACGTCTAAGCAGAATACATCATAATTTCGATATGTTTTGCATCTATTTCGTTTGATAACATACGCTTCTGTTTATCAAGTCCTATGTGTGGGTGTGTGTGTGTGTGTGTGTGCGACAACAAATTAATATCTTTGCTGTACGAAAGAAAATTTTTAGTCCAAATGAATCCAAAAAATTCGATCAGTGTACTAGTGTGAGCAAAACATCATTGCATATTCAATTATTATTATTATTATTATTATTTATATTATTTATATTATTTATATTATTTATATGATTTATATATATATATAGGTATATATATATAGGTATATATATATATAGGTATATGTATGTATGTGTGTGTGTGGAGGTTTGCGCCTGTAAACCCATACCAGCCGATGACACACCTGTGAAGAGATGACATACTCGCAAGCGATGACGTCAATTAATTTAATATATTTAAACAGTGAGAGCTCCCTCTATATACCCCCGGTGAAATATCTGAGCTTTTCATCAAAAGTCACCCTTAGTTAGGTATTTTTCCAAGTTCATAGACACACGCTGTGTGAGCGATATCTTGTGAAATATTCGTACTCAGTTATGCAGTGGCCTACACAATTTTACGGTTGTTGCTAAACATCCATTGCTTACTGACAGAAATAGCATTACACATATTTTTTTTAATGAAAAAACGAAGATTAACTATGTCACCACTGTAAGGTTTTTTTTCAATGTCTTCGGTTGTAACCCCTTCACATGTGTGGGTTTGTGTGTGTGTTTAAGATATTAAGTAAATGCTAAATTTTAGAAATATCATCAATATTTATATTTACTGTATATTTAATATAATGACGTTACGCTGTAGGAACTTTTTCAACGCCTTTAAAACACGATTCAACAAATAATGTTATAGTGAAGCGTTTGTTTATTTGTATATCAACAGTAACAGTAATGGAATAATACATAGTCTACAAATAGGACATCTTTTGCGTACCAAACCTGCAGATGAAAATGAAGCATCATTATCAGCGGGAACTGCTGTCAATGATTCTCCTTTTCTGGTCTCATGAATACTTGAACATGGTATGGCCACATGAACTATTTAAAAAGGAGAACTCATACCGTGGACCTAAGTTCATTGAAGACATTCATTCTATTGTACTTTAAGTTTTAGAAAGCGCTCAACTTAAATGGAAACCAGCTGTTAATGGTGGTTGATAATTAATCACAGTGGAAAGTTTAATCTTAATTACATAATGATTAAAATCAGACAAAAGCCACCCAGTACAACAACCACCCGGACGAAAACCACCCAAAATGGAATACTCCCTGGTGGACAATGTTGGGTGGGCCTGTTTTTTTAAAATATTTTTTATCAGCTTTACAACTGAGGATACTTTACACTGTGACTTGCTATTATACGCCTTTAATTTCGTCAAATGTTTTGACAATTGCATGTATGTTAATGATCATTGTATATTTCAGTAATCACTCTGCTTAAGTTTGCCTTTGAACAATTAACTTCAAAGATTTATGGAGATTCAAATGTAAAATTTATAGTAAATTTCAATACATTTAATATTTTTTTTATCTTTATAGTTATTTTTTTATTATTTTATATTCGAAATTTATTTAAATATCTAAAAGGACTTATCCCTACTTCCCTTAAAACCTATTATTTTCAATTAGATAATTCCCTTTAATAATAATAATAATTTAAATATAAAAGTCATACTCATTAATGAATGTAGGTTAATAAGATCTTACTATTTTATCTTTTTATCTGTTTTGATCGAATTGTAGTAAAACCAGTATATTTTTATAATAGTAAATAAAATCTAATTAAAACAGAATACTTTATTGAAAAGGTTTTTCATTTAGTAACAAAATTAAATACTCCATTACATTAATAGAATACACATAAAATATTTACATTTACTTACTTTAAGGTATTTTATATTTGTATAATATTTATTATTGTATAAGTCAGTCGTGACATCATCACTGCAACTCCCATTGTTATTAGCCTATCCCCACAGTCCAATAATTTTAATATATTTTTGATATTTTTTTTTAGTGAGACTTTTCTTAATACCTTGTTTCATGAAACCTTCACCCAAAGATGTACTGTCCCTTGCAAAAAACGAAAAGAAAATCATAAAAATCATTTTTGAAATGTTCTTGCCCACGAAAGTGACATGAAAATTATCAACTTGAACACAAAAATTGGTGTATTTAAAAAAATGCTTACCCATAGAAACCATCATTTTACAGCGAAAAAAAAATGATAGAAACACTTCCAGTCACTGGAAGTGTTATATTATCTTATTAGTATCCAGTTAAAAAATCAGGGAACACATTTTTTTAATTTATTAATTTCTATGCTCAAGTTAATAAAGTGTATTTTACTGCAAAATGAGCAAGTTAATTTAAAAGTATTTTTTTTTTTATGATTTTGGTCATTTTCAAGGGACAGTACATTTTTAATAAATTTTTTATATATTTTTTTAATTCAAAAATTTCCTTCGGGCCTTGCAGGCCTTAGGAATTTTTTCAAGCATTAATATAACTTTTTTATAACAATTCTCCTGTAGTGTGCTATGCGGAGCTCTACTAATCGCTTAGTATTTTTAATTTATTTAAATTTATAAAAGGGCTTGTCCCAACTTTCATTAAAAATTACTTTCAATTAAATAGTTCCCTTTAATAATAATTTGAATGTAAAATGTTATACTCATTAATGAATGTAGGTTAATATGATCTTACTATTTTATCTTTTTATTTGTTTTGAATTATAGTAAAACCTGTGTATTTCTATAATTATGCTATTATTTTAGTATTCGAAATTTATTTAAATTTCTAAAAAGACTTATCCCTACTTCCCTTAAAACTTATTATTTTCAATTAGATAATTCCCTTTAATAATAATAATAATAATAATAATTTAAATGTAAAAGTCATATTCATTAATGAATGTAGGTTAATAAGATCTTACTATTTTATCTTTTTATCTGTTTTGATCGAATTGTAGTAAAACCAGAATATTTGTATAATAGTAAATAAAATTTAATTAAAACAGAATACTTTATTGAAAAGGTTTTTCATTTAGTAACAAAATTAAATACTCCATACATTAATAGAATACACATAAAATATTTACATTTACCTAATTTAAGGTATTTTATATTTGTATAATATTTATTATTGTATAAGTCAGTCGTGACATCATCACTGCAACTCCCAATGTTATTAGCCTATCCCCACAGTCCAATAATTTTAATATATTTTTGATATATATATATATATATATATAATTATTAATTAATTATTAATATTAAAAATGTACTGTCCCTTGCAAAAAAAATCATAAAAATCATTTTTGAAATTTACTTGCCCACGAAGTTACATAAAAATTATCAACTTGAACACAGAAATTAGTGTATTAAAAAAAATGCTTACCCATAGAAACCATCATTTTACAGCGAAAAAAAACTGATAGAAACACTTCCAGTCACTGGAAGTGTTTTATTATCTTATTATAATTATCCAGTTAAAAAATCAGGAAACACATTTTTTTTAATTGATTAATTTCTATGCTCAAGTTAATAAAGTGTATGTTACTGCAAAATGTTAAGTTAATTTAAAAGTTATTTTTTATGATTTTGGTCATTTTCAAGGGACAGTACATCTTTAATATATTTTTAATATAATTTTTTAATTCAAAAATTTCCTTCGGGCCTTGCAGGCCTTAGGAATTTTTTTCAAGCATTAAATATAGTTTTTTTTTTTATAACAATTCTCCTATAGTGTACTATGCGGAGCTCTACTAATCGCTTAGTATTTTAAATGTATTTAAATTTATAAAAGGGCTTGTCCCAAATTCCATAAAAAAATACTTTCAATTAAATAGTTCCCTTTAATAATAATTTGAATGTAAAATATTATACTCATTAATGAATGTAGGTTAATAAGATCTTACTATTTTATCTTTTTATTTGTTTTGAATAATAGTAAAACCTGTATTATATTTCTATAATAGTGAATAAAATCTAATTGAAACAGAATATTTCATTAAACAGTTTATTCAAATATTAACAAAATTAAATACATTACATTATTAGAGTACGGTATTTAAATTTAATTAATTTCTATTGTTTTATTTATTTGTTTAACTTTATTTAAATTTATATAAGGGCTTGTCCCTTTAATAATAATAATTTAAACGTAAAAATCATATTCATTAATGAATGTAGGGTAATAAGATCTTACTATTTTATATCTTTTTATCTGTTTTGATTGAATTATCACTACTGTATAATTAATATTTCTTCTTGCATTAATTGCATTTATAGGGAGACATGCACAGTAATTTAGTAGGAAACCAGTTTCCATAATAGTGGGTATAATCTAATTAATTACAGTGCTTCATTACAAATAGAGTAGACTTATACTACAATTACTTATTTATATTTGCATTAAAGAAGATTACAATTATACTGTATGTAATCATATAATTTAGAATACTAAAATATTACACTATAAAGATAAAGAACATTATTAAATGTATTAAAACTTTACTACAAATTTTACATTTGAATTTGCATAAAGCCTTGAAGTTAATTGTTGTGTTAAAATCATTT